GGGGGGTTATGCTGAGCCTTGCTCTAGTCCTCAGCCCGAGGAAGTTAAAAGATGGAATTCTTGATAGTAATTTTTTTTCTTATTTTTTTAACTCAGAATATGGGAGGGTTTTTTTCAGTCTTACTTTTTTCCAGGATTAAGAGTTCTGCATTTACAGCCTTTATATTTTTAATATTTCCTCTTAATCCTGGAATAGAGATATACCAAATGTATTACCAGAGCCTCTGTGACGTTTTCAATAAATGTTTGTTAAAAGTAAGATGCTATACTGTGTGCTGCCTTGCAAGACTCAGTTCGATTTGGAGAGGTGATACTTGGACAATGAAGTAACCTTTATCTGCTTTTAGGCCAAGAAGCCCCAGCTTTTCCTTGGACTAAGGAAATGCAGTTTGGGGATGCAGCTGTGTGGACCGGTGGCTGTGGCACAGCGCCGGGGGGTCGGCGGGGCAGGGCTGCTGGCACAGCCTCGGGTGCTGGCCGAGTCACTGGGTGGGGAAGCAAGCAGCTGCCTCTCGTGCTTCTTCTGACTTCTGCATCTGGAGGATTGTTAGAGCAGAACAGTACTGACACGCTGCTCGGATGACATCCTTAATCCTGCCTTCCTGCTCTTCGCTGGTTTGGTTTGTTTTTTTCTTTTTTTCTTTTTTTTTTTTTTTCCCCTCAAGCATCTTAACTTTTGAAATGTGCTGGGCTCCGAAGCCTGCTAGGGCAGAGCATCCTCCTCAAGTGAAGCAATTGAGTCTTGACTCACTGCTGTCCCAGGTGAAGGGCAGCAGCCTGGGTGTGTGGCAGCTGGCACCAGGCAGGCTGTGATGCCCAGCAGGATTGTACTCCTGTTTGCTCTTTTATTTAAAAAAAACCCCAAAACACAACCCCCCCCACACCCTATATTTTTAGCTTATTCATTAAGTAAGTCTGGCTCAAGTCTTTCTTTTTTTCTGCTGTTAATCCTTGTAGCTGAAGATTTAGGAATCCTTTTGAAATCCCTGTTTGTGACAGATGAGGAATGAGGAGCCAGGCCTCCGTGGCGGACAGCGGGGCGTTTGCTGTTGCAAATTCATTTGGCCCGAATTCACTGAGCAACGAGGCCAGAACCCAGGTCCTGCTCACCTAATCTTGCTAGAGAATACTGAAGCCATTTTTCAATACCTTTTTTTTTTTTTTAAAATAGAAAAAAAGAAGACAGTCTTAACATCTGCCTTCCAAGCTGTGTGCTGTTGCCAGGATACATATTTTCAAAGCTTAAAAACTGCCCCCCTCACTGTGTCTCCCTCTGCTGTGGGGCTGGCAGGTGCTGGCCAGCCATGGCCAAACAGCAACACAGGAGCTCTTCTGGGCTTCTACATGTGTGTAGGGATAAACTCACTTGTAATATTTTATTCAGAGTGTTTGTATATGCAATTTTCTCAACTTGTTACACTTTTTAATGAAAATAAATTGTTGGTACACATTTAAAGTGGAGGTCTGTGGGAGGAAAACAGACCTTTAAAGTAATCATTTGAGGTAGGGAGAGGTGGTTTTGAAGATAACATGTTCTGGTCACCCTTCCGATGGCAGTTACATTTAATAATCTTTCTCTGTTTAATTTATGATTAAAAGAGAGAGATGCACATGGAGAAAAAAAAATCTTTATTAGACTTGTTTGTATAAAGAGTAACAAAGTGCTTACAGATTTAAACTGGGTTCGTAAGTGACGTACAGAAAAAACAGGTAATACTGTAAAAATAAATCTGAACTCACGGCAGCTCATAATTACAATTTTTTATATATATAGATATATATTTAAAGACCTCTTTCTGTTATTGCCAGAACTGAGCATCTCCTAAGCATTTCTGAAACACTTCCCATCCTTATCAGCCAAGGTGTAGGACATCGGTAAGCAAAAGGTTTCCAGTTAACCTGCTGTTTGTCGGGCTGAGAAAGCAAGAGCACAGGGCCCTCCCTCGACTTGCTCACCTTTAAATGCTACATCTAGTCCTGACAATAAAATGTCTGTGGTCCCAGTCTGGCCCCACTGGTTTCCCTTTGGTTAACTGAATACTGCCCAAGGGCACGGTTTGAGTCAAATTAAATAAAGGCCTGTTCTGGAAAGAATCATCTTAGAGGCCAAATAAACACCTTTACAGAGAAACTGCTAAAATGAATTGACAGGCTGGCCACAGAAATCATTGACCAAAAAAAGATGAGTGCGAGGTCCACACCTCGAATGGCACTGCTGGCAAAAAAAAACAAAAACAAAAACAAAAAACCAAACCCGACGACTGTTTCACATGTTCAAGGTGTTCTTCCTTCCCTCCTAGGGACGCTGCCCCGGTTCTCTGTCCTCTCCTTTAGGGAGTTATCCTTCGTTAGGGGAGTGCTCCCCCAGCTCCTGTACACCGATTACACCTTTCCCAGCGCGTGCAGGGAGCTCGCAGGCACATTCCGGGACACGGCAGTTCACTGGCAGTACAAGCAGGAAAACGCTGCGTTTGCACAAGCAACACCCACACCAACAGTGGAAGCTCCAGCGGGCAGAACTCGGTAACGTGGGCGGGGAAAGCTTACATTTATCCAGAAACGGGGTTTCTCACCGAAATGCGTAACTGTACATGCTGACCCATGCTTTTTTTTGCCTTTTTTTGAACACGACAGTTAAGCAAATTTTTTTAATTATTTTTTTTTTTAAATACATGTAAGCTCAGAACTGCAGACTGGTTAAGACAAGCTAATTATTTTGTTTTCTCTGGATTTTTATACCAGAGTTGGTTTTTGTCACTAAAATTTAAGTGCACGTAAAGGATAGCTGTCAGCCAAACCTTTTTTTTGTTTGTTTGTTTTTTTAAAAAAACTCAAACCCCCATAAAATTATTGAAGTACTCTATCAGGTCCTCTTATGTCCCCTAGCTTAGTTACTCAAGGAACAAGCACCTTGTTTTAAATGCTACAGCTTGAGAACTGCAGCATTTTTTGATGCCACTCTTTTAGTTTACGTTCATCAGGGTAGGTCAAAATGTAGCGAGACCATAATCAGGTGAAAATAAAACTGCCTTGCAATGACAGCCGCAGGAGGAGTTGAAGCTATTGTTTCAGCCATAGCTTTTCATTAATTTGATCCAACTGTTGACTAAAATTAAAAAGGAAAACTGTTGGAAAAAGAATCCTTTAGCACAGTCAGAGTACAAATTACAGTAGTTCAAAAAAATAAGTGTCTTGGGCATTTATATTTTAAAGTACTGACAGTATATATATATAAAAAAAGGAATTATATTTTACTCATAATTGTTTCAAATCCTTGAATCAGATTGTGAAAGGTTGTCCGTTCGTCATGCTTGAATATCCAGCACTTCCTCATCAGCTGGTCCACCTGATAACAACAACAAAAAAGATTAATTTGAGAGATGTGTGTGAAACATTTCACTGTTTTTTCCAGTCAATATAATGGAGCAGATTCTCGGTTCTCTGAAATGAAGAACACTGACAGGAACAGGCCTTAGCTTTGGATCCGAAGCAGCGAGTGTCTGTTACGGGGGGTTTGTAGAGCGGGTGTTTGTCTGACAGCACAGTGCAGCGGTTGTGGAGGCGGCTTAAAACAACCCAAAGCTTCAGCCCAGTTCCCGCCTGGCACCACAGCCCTGCTTCACCTCCCGGTTCCCCTGCGGAATCCACTCGTGGAAAAAAAAAAAACAAAAAACCCTCGGAACCACCTTTCTGCCAGGAAACCTGGGAGCTGTCGGACCCAGAGGGCCGGGAACGCGCGGCCCTTCCGCTGCTGTTTAAGAGCCCCAACGCCAAAGCGCGGGCGCGTCCTCACCTCCTCCGGGCAGGCGGGTGGACGTGGCAAACGTTTTTCTTCTTGCAAGACACGCACCAGCCGCGCCACCGTCATCTGTCCCTGCGTGGGGCCGATCATCTTCAAGAACTCCTGTGGAAAGAGCGGGAGTGAGCGGCGCGTCCTCTGACCCCCCCACCCTCCGCGCGCATCCAGGCCGTCTCGGCGTGACATTAAGATGACATTTGAATCTCAAAATGAAAATGAACAGCAGATGCTTATCGTGCAGATACCCTGCGCCGTACACTCACGTTAGAAAATAGATGGTAACATTTATAAATACAGTTTCCTTAGCAGGACACCCAGTCACCACAACTTATCTCTGTACAGGGAGTACAAGGGTTGTTTTTATAAGATAAAGAGATTGATTCCACTTCCTGTTTCCAAAAATAATGCTTTTTTTTTAAAAAAAAAAAAAAAGGTGATTTAAGCAGCTTTAGCAGCAATTTCTTTCACAGCCACTTACTGCCATGGGACTGGACTCTGAATCACAGTAGGTCAGCAGCTCATACAGTGTCACCCCAAACGACCAGACGTCCGAGGCGATGTAAAATTTACTCTGAAGCAAGCACTCTGGGGCATACCTGTGGGCACAACGACAGCGTTACTCAAGAGCTGCACGCAGCTGCTCGTACATGCACAACCCACACGCGTTTTAAGTGAGCGAGCAAACGCCTCCTGCGTCCTCATGTAGAAACGTGGGATGGCACAGAAGTAGTAATAAGGTACAAGTATTACATAGCAAGTCACTGTGAAACTGAAGGAGACCAAAACCACAAGAAGTCGTGGGAAAATGGATCATTAAGTGCACCAGAGTAGGTAAGTGTAGTCTACCAGGTGCCTCTTCCTTGCTCTGACGTTGTATCTTTACTCAGGCCTCTTATCCAAACAGGAAAAACCTTCAGGACACCTGAAAGCCTGAGTCTACAGGAGCAGACAAGTTATTCCGCTGCACGGTCTGGTTAAAGAAAACAAATTTTAAGTTACTACCAAAACACGGGGCTGTCGAGGTCGTCTTTGACGGTGTAGTACTCCTTGTCGGTCTCGATGGCTTTGGTGAGACCGAAGTCTCCAATCTTCACTCTGTTCTCGCTTTCAACCAGGACGTTCCTTGCTGCCAAGTCACGGTGCACATACTGACAGGCGCCCAGATAGTCCATTCCCTGAGAGAGAAGAAAGCCTTTATGCTGGTTTCTCCAAGACTTTCCTCACTGGTTTTCCCCAACTTCCCCTTCAAACGCTCCCTCGCTCACATGACAACACTCTGCACGTTCCCGCGGCAGGTTGGCGCTTTCCAGGATCCTTTTCTGACACAACCCCCCCCTTAAACTCAGCCTTGGGGTTCCTTGTGTCAAGGCTGTTGTTTCAGCTTCGTGCTTTTTTCATTTCCAGCTGAGCAGCCACCACCTCCAGCCCCTTCTCTCCTCAGCAGCCGTTCCTTCAGGTGCTGCTAGAACTGACAGCCTGCTCTGGGCTTCTTACAACTGCCCGGTCCCCCCCAGTCACAAAACCAGAGTCTCTTGCAGAGAGCTCATGGCTTCACGTGGCCTCACTCACGTCTCTTCCTCGGTTTAGACCTGCACGCTGCTCCTTCCCTTTTGCCAACAACACCCTTTCTAAATGCTGCCCTCCCTCCTCGGGCTCCAAATCCTGCAGCAGGAACTACATATAGTAAACTTTTATGCAAAGGAAAGCTGGTAATTATTCCCTTGCAGATCTTTGAGCACCCAGAGCACAGCAGAGACCGCTTTAGGATTCCCTGGGGACAAAGCAAGGAGAATGGCTTTGTTCAAGCCAGCCTCTCCCCCGCCCCGCCATGCAATTAAATTAAACTAATCAAACAGGGCAGTTATGGGAAGGCTCCGGGGCCAGGCTTACCTTGCAGATCTGAACCGCGTATCTGAGAAGCTGTTTGAGATTGATTTTGTTCTTGTTCCGGGGGAGATACTCCTTTAGGCTCCCAGAAGGAAGAAATTCCATGATGAGTTTAATCCCGCTTCCTCCTAAAAACAGAGCGTGTGTTTAATTTGCAGCCACGTGACCCGTCTCAGGTCGTTGGCACAGGTGACTGGTACGAGCCCCCGGCACCAGCAGCATTTGTAACAGTGTCATGCAACCGCGGCCACGGACTACGGGCTGCCTCCCCCTACCAGTTCCTGTCCCAGTCCAGAAATCTATTCCAGGCAGGAGTTACTGAATTTGAAGTTCTTAAAGCTTTTACTACTGGCTTATAGCAATCACTACTGCAAATGCAAAACCAGCAGCTCTCTCCTATGAATAACATACACTTCTAATAATAACACCACTGCCGCAGGGCTGTGAGCTGGCTGCAGCAGTCGGCCACTCCTGGACAGACACCACCAGCCTGCCCAGGTGCTCGTTTTTTTAATGGATTTGGTGAGAACATCAACCCTGTTGCTCACATCCCGATTAGCCAAGCACAGAAACGGGCAGGAGGACGAGTTCAGAGATAAACTGCTGCTTTTTCCATGAAGCAAGAGATTTAAACCCATGAGATTGAACTAAAAAAATTTAAAGGAAAACCCTTACATTTTTAGTGTATATTTTTAATATTCTACATGAAGATTTACCATCTTCTGTGCAAATTCCCTTGTATTTGACAATGTTCTCGTGATAAAGATTCCTCAAGATTTCGATTTCCTTCTTGAGATCAGCGATGTGATTCCCTCCACTCTCTGGCTTTAGAGATTTAACTGCCACTTGCTCCCCTGTATTGTCGCCTTCTGGGTCGTATCTGCAGAGTTCAACCTTGCCAAAGTGGCCCTAATTGTAAAAGAAAAGATAACATGATCTAACAGACACTCACTAACTGTAGTTCCACGGATGATTTCAGGCGCTTACGACTCGCATCATCCTGCTGGGATGCAGAAAGCACACACAGCTGTGTGTACACACACACTGTTCCCTGTCTGACGTTCCTCTTACCTCTCCCAAATCGCGGATTCTCTTCAAGAATCGTTTCTCAAAGAGAGTGGGATCGACCTCTGTAAAGGGCTTCTTCTCCGAGACGATATCAGGATCTAGAAGTGAAAAAAAAAAGGCCCAGGTCAGGCAGATTCCGTTCGAGCGTGTCTAGCCCTACTGTCACAACTTCTTGTATTTAATCCTTGCCTACTTTTTGACAGGGAATCCCTTCCACTGGTACGTGCCAGCTCATCACTTGCTGTTCCTCCCCCACTCTGTGGGTTGCTTGCTGGCCCTTTTTTCAGAGCGATTCGGTTTGCTCTTGGTATACACCCCAGTGTGCAGTAGTGAGCCAGCTTCCACAATTATGTATTACTAGGTATGGGATGGAAAGTTTTGCCCTTAATTGATCATCTGGTCATTGCTCTGTAGTAACTTCAGTGTAAGATGAACCAGGACTATCTGTGCTAATACTCTGCTTCGCTCAAGAGAGCCCAAAGGAAATCTCACAGAGCTCAAAGACTGTCTTGAAACTGATTTAAGGTGTTTTCTAAAATACAGACCATCGAACAAAACGGCAGCGAGACCAACGCAGCTCCGGCCACCCAGTCAGTCTGAATTAAACACTCCCGCCCGATCCACACTCCTCTCCAAGCAGGGGCCAGTTCCACGCTCCCGTCAACACAACCACGCGCACAGGAGGCTGCTGCAAGGTGCCCAACTTCACCGACCAAGCCAGGCACCCTCCCGTCAGCAAACCCAGGCCTTACTCTGCTCCTCCAGCTTGTTGATGTCCCTCATGATGGCTCTGAAGAAGGGTCTCTGGTGGGGGTCGTAGTTCATGCACTGTTTCATCAGGTCAGCCAGCTCCTTGCACGACGGCGTGGCCAACACGAAGTGCCCCTCGTAGAACCTCTCCTTCTGTAAGTCACACACGGAAACTCCGGCATCAGTTTTAGCTTTTGAACTTCATAAACCCCTGTTCTACACCCGAAGACGTGACCATTAGATCCTTAACTCCTTGTGAACTGTTACTTTGCTTTGCCAAGGAAATCCCCTCCTTTCCGGCAGTAACTAAACCATCTCCTTCCAGTAGAGAATTACTGTTGTGCTGAATCTGGTGTAGTTTGGAGCAACCCCCTTAAAACACCTGAAGTATCTAAAACGTGCTGAAAATTTCACCTCTCAGGAGTTATTTTTCTGCCAGGTTTGCCACGTTACTTACACACTGGGGCTAATGGCTGAGCAGAAACACTTGCCAAGGGAACCCCACGACACTGCCTGCTCCTCACAACCCCCGGGAAGGTACCAGCCTGGGGCAGACAGGAGGCGGCCGGGGGCGGGGGGGGATTTCTCAGCCTGGCAGAACCACGCCGGCTGTCTGCCACGTGCAGGAAGTGGCCTGTAGCCAGGGCAGCAAGTTCCTTTCAGCTACCTCCTGTTAAAACAACGCGGCAGTGACTCAAGTACTCGGTCATTTCCTTCAGCCGAGCAGCAGCTGCCACGCTCCATCGCCTTCCCCACACAGCACAACTCTGAGGGAGAAAAAGCACGTTTGGAACATAGGCTGAGGGACTCCAGCACTGACAAACACAAACTGCCAGCAGTAAGGCAGAACAAGATTGATTTGACTTTTAAATTTTATTTTATTTCAGATTGAAGAATAATGGTGTCCCACAAGAGACTAGTTCTGAACCAACGTCCAAAAAAACCAAGCAAGAACAACCACCCGGCTGCTTTTTAAACAGAACCTCAGTCAGTTTATAACTGGGCACAGGGCGGGAGTGAGAGCATCAGAAGTTCTGCTTGACTGCTGTGAGTTTTGAAAATCCCCAACAAGGTCAGGCTGCAGCAATAATTGGCAATTTCTGTAGGATGGGCAAGAATTCCTGCTGCACCCTGTGGCAATTCAGGTGGCTCAGCCCCTTAGGGAGCCCAGCAGAGCTGGTTTTCCTGGAAGTTGAAAGCAGCTTGAACTGGGTATGGAAACTGAAGTGCCACAGAGGAGGTAGCCGAGACACGGAGGTAAAGTTGATGTAACACAGTTTTACCTCTGCCAACGTCTTGTCTTTCAGTGGGATCTCTCCGTTATAGCAGATTTCCCACAGTGTTGTACCAAAACTCCACTTGTCTGCTGCAACGCTTAAATTTTTGGAGTCTTCAACACATTCAGGTGCAATCCAGGGGATTCGCTCAACGCATTCTTAAACAAAACACAGAGTTGATGCGTTTTGGAGTTAATATCGAAGGACTAAAAAAACCAGCCTTCTACCTCAATTATTCCTGTCTAACAGCTGCCTAACTAAAAGCAACTAAAGCTGCTGTGTTTGTCCAGTTTCAGGGAAATCCTGATTCTCAAATCCCTGTTCTCAGAAGGACATTTCTGTGGCTTTTACAAGTGCTGCCCTGAGCCATCCAGAAACTGAAATTCCTTCTGTATTAACATGACTTTTTCAGAGAAATTTATACAGTAAGCACCCACCAACGCTCCTTTACTTCATGGAGCTTTCAGTTTCATGAAAGCTGGTTGCTTCTATTCTAGAGGCAGTTCTAACTATAAATGATATTTCTTTTCCCCCTTCCCCACCAGACCGAAGAGAAATCCAATCCCTGCACCATACCTTGTCTGGACAGCACAGTTATTGGGATTCCTGGGTCGCTCAGCTTTATGAAAGGACCATATTCAGTGTCAATTCCCTCTCTTGCCAGCAGGATGTTCTTAGTACACACATTTCCATGTACCAAATCCTTATCCTCCTACAGTGAGGGGGAAAAAGAGAATCATGAGTGCAGTGAGCTAGCAATGCTCTGCCAGTGCTCTAACACCTATAGTATGTAAAATACTCCAATAATAATAAAATTGCTGTAAAATACTCCAAGCTGAAATCCAAGAGTACAGCTTGTAAGAAATTATCCTAAAGAAAAAGAGGGGAAGGAGGAGTAGGGAAACATATTGTCCACACATAAGTGTTTGTATTCGTAGAGCTGACACGCTTTGGAAGGAAGACCAACATTACATTCCTTTTTCACGCAAAGCACAGTTGCAGGCACATAAACTGGTGGCAAATGGAAGCACACGGCCTGCTGATAAAAAACAAGCTCATCACCTTCTCTGAGAGTCTTTCTCGTTATTTAAAGCAACATAATGAATACAAAAAGAATATCCCATCCATTGTACAGTCCCACCTGGGCAAGGAAATTCTTTAGTTACTCATGCACGCAGCGTTAGGCTGCAGCAGCTCCAGGCAATGCTTCTGCCAGGCTGCATTCTTACCAGGTAGCTTAGTGCACTTGCAAGTTGCTTGGCAACTTTGAATTTCCAAGGAGTTGTCAGAACTTCACTTTTCCGATGCATAAACAGATCCAGAGGCCCGAATTCAACAAACTCTTCCACCATGATATCTGCAAGGTCAGATGCATGAAGTCAGCACTGCAATAACTGCTGTCCCAAGTCATCTCATAAACCTGTTACCGCCTTCCCCCTGCCAGGCGAGGTGGTGATGTATTTATTTCGCCTTCCTCAGAGTTTATTTCAGTGCTTGGTGTCTAAATTAAAAGGCTGAGAAGAGTCGCTGGCTACAGTGAAGAGTAAACCTGGAACAAAGCAGTTCAAAGCCCCCAGGGCTGAGCTTTCCCAGGGAAATAACTTCTGCCAGGAGGCTGGTTTGCATCGACATCCCCACTATCGCTCCGACCTCAAAGCACCATCCTGTAAGGCACTTACAGACAGCGCTGGAACAGGAAACTTGTTAGGAAAAAGGACTTTGCAGCTGCCTTCCTGTTCCAATTCCGCTTCTGCCTGCGCTGACAAGTCAAGAGGCAGCAGCTGGGAAGCATCTCCCCCGCCGCCCCGTGCCCTCCCACCCCGCTGCCTTACAGAGGTGTCACCCAACTCACTTTCGACGTCGCGGACGCAGACGCCGTGCAGGAGGACGATGTGCTTGTGGGACACCTGCCTCATCATGCTGGCCGTTTCGAAGAATGCCTGTGGGAGAGGGGAAGGGCTCAGCCATCACGCTGCTGGTCACTGCGGCACCGCCCGTGTGTTTCACAAATAACGGAGCATCAAGTAATAAAAACATTCACACAAGAGCACTGTGCTTTCTAGTGAGATGAAGGGCTGCCAACGGCAGGGATGTGCCATCCCATAACGGGGCAGGGGGGTGTTCACTGGGTCACATAAGCAGCCAGTGCCCTTCCCTGCACCCTCATATATTTGAAATATAACCTCTGGTATATGTGAAATAGATTTTAAGGCCTAATAAAATGTGTTCGGGACTTAGCTATCTTGTAATATTACTAAGGCAACCAGAATATTGCTCAAGAGCTCTGAAAAGTGTTCTTAGCCTGCTTCTTGTACGGTCCCAACCCAAGGCTGGTGTAAAACCCAGTCAAGCTAATCCTACACAGTTTTAACAAAGGATGATTAATTGACTGAACACAGGTGTTTTGCCAGATTAAGAGAATTTAGTACACAGAAATTACTTGCGCTACCAAAGCTTTTAACAGAACATCTTGAAGTCTTTCTCAGAATTGTGCGAGATGAAAACTAGTAGAAGGAAGATGATGACTCGAAGCATGACCCTGAAACTGAAACAAGGATTGGAACCAGAAGAGAAGAATCCAGCTGAGACAGGGGATCGTAGTGAACTTTAATGAATGATGAGAATCAAGAACTAAAAGGTTGAATGTAAACTTATAAAGACGTCGGACTTAGGTAATAGATTTAGAAATAGTATATAAACTGCACGGGGCCTTTGGATATTGCCATTCCCCACAGTGTTGGCCCAACTTCAATTGTTAATAAAGCAAACCCAGAGATACCCACACCTGGTCATTCTGCTTCTTCCTTGAACACGCAGACACGCATGTACTAGTTCATCGCGTCCCCTGTGCGACACGTTCACCTCTCTTACCAGATGATTAAGCAAAACGCACATCAAGGAACTTGCCTGTGGCCGTGTCGACAACAGAGCCGGTGAGAGACCCAGAGCCCAGCTGTGGAGGGGATTTCTGGCAGGCAGCAGCACCCTCACTGAACGCTGAGCACGGCCGTGACGGTGCGTTTGGTACCACAGCGAGCTCTGGGGCCGCTCGCCCCGCGCTTACGGTCTGCACCCGCCAGACCCCGTGCTGCTGCCTCGTAAGGAGATCAGCTTGCTGAGTATCTCAGAACTGCTGGTCAGTGTTGGGTCTGACTGCCTGAAGTGGTGAGACAGACCTTCAGCATTTGCCCATTCCCTTACCGTATACACAACCCCCCCCTTTTTTTTTGTTTTTAAAGGCTTTTCATGGTTGCCCACGTACAATACGGTGAGACGCAGCATTTGCAGTACAACAGACGAAAAGGAAAAAAAAACTTGCCAAAGAAATGTCTCTGTGGCTGGGGTCCAAGACTTTGAGCAGGACTTTAATCTCTTTTTCATTTTGATATCCTTCGTTCTCATCATCTTTGTAGTTGAGAATCCCAGAGTAGATCTGCGTTCTCGTCCCTCTTCCGAGATGCTCGCCCTAAGACATAACACACCACGTATTTATTAAAACCAGGACATGAAGCAAACAAGCGTAGATTTACACAAATACTCGACTCTGCACTCCATTCTGCCTCTCTGAGAGTGGACTTAAGCCCTCCACTCGATCTAGCTACACAGAGACTTAAAATTATTACAGTGAAAAACCAGTGACAGCAAGTTATTCTTTCTTTTCGTGGTCTGAGCCTACTCACCACTGAAAACGCATTTGATAGTAAAGGGCTATTACATCTCCATTAACATCAAAGAGTTCAACGTGATTTAATGTTATTAGACTAAACACCAAATGAATAAATAATAACTGGCCTCTTATTTACAATAAGCTGCTACTGAGGCAATCTTTAATGTGTTTCCAAAAGTTAAAGGAAGTAATATTTCAATGGAACACTTTGTTTGGGAAAGCAATTTCCTCCTAAATAACAGAGGATTCTGCCTTGGGATATTTTTGCAGGAAGCCTGCATGCTGACTGTAAATATACCAATCAAAAAACAATTAACATAATCTATATCTGTCCTCTCCGGTCTGTGATGCAATTATGAAAAAAAAAAAATCAACCAAAAAAAAAAACCCACCCGGCCTTTTTATTTAACTGAAGAAGTTAACTGCATGATTTAAGAGCTCAGGTCTTTTAGAAACATTAAATGTGATTTGTGCATTCAAACCTCTGCGTGTTTTTTTTGAAGTTTATTCAGGTCACCCGCATCACTAACTGCAAACAACTGTCAGAAAATTTGGGTGCTGAATCAGTCTGCAACACAAACACCTGAATGCTAAGGCTCTTCAGAGTTTTTGATACTTCATCTTTTTTTTTTTTTTTTAGTTGCCTGTTTCTCTGGTGTGTCAGGCTTTAAAAAGATACAGCCACATCTAGCAACAAACCAGCCCTGAAGTCTTCCATGATTTTTTCAACAGTGACCTTAGAGGCACCTCTTTTCCACTGACATTAGAAAATTGTTCAAATACCAATTTGATTTCTAGTGAAAGGCATTACTGCTGAGCTTCTCTTCTTTTTCTGCACGGGGACATAGAAACATCTAGATTCTGCAATAAGAAGCTTTGATACAAATAAAGATTTCAAATAAGTTTTGCTGAGGAGAAATGGGAGTGGAAGAACCAGCCAGAAGAGGGTGATTTGGTATCCCCCGACGGGGTGGAGTGGGCTGCCACACGTCTTTGATTACAAGAGAGAAACACAGTCCAGCAGCTACCTACCTGCATGATTTCTTCCTTGAGGATTCGATGGAAACTCAGCTGCCCTAGGTGAAAAACGGGCTGCCACTCCTGCGCCTTCTTGGTTGCAACTAGCAAGTTGGAGATTTCTGGAAGGCAGGGAGAGAAAGTAAGTCTTTAAGACTTTTGAAAGATAACTGCATTCACCCTTCTCAGTCGATAACAGCACTGTATATGCTCACCGCAAGGTAATCCCCAAATGAATGAGGAGGAGGGAGGAAAGAGGAAACTTTGACTTCTGCTCAAGTAACTTCTCTGTCATCCAACAGAGAATTCACTACAGCAGAGCTACATATTTTATATGATACATAAAACACTAATATTAGCCATTTGGGGACTGATATAATGCAACTGAATAGTGTTTACTGCCCAGAGAAATACCCAGGTCTGAAAGAGGCAGTAATTCTGCTGTACATTCAGTCGAACAACAGGCAGCCCCTCCTGCCAACAGGTAACGTCTCCTTTCCAGGGCACAGATGGGCGAGGGGTAGCTGGAGTCTCAGTTCCTCTCTTTTACCTCCTTGAAAATTTCCTGCGCCCTGAGAAACATGAACAGTCTGTTTCCAGAGCACTGGAATTAAACTGGGGAATGGGAAATAAACAGAAGGAAAAGACTCCAAAGGCTGGTGCTTCCTCCCCACTGCTTCTGGGCAGAGAGAGGCAATGGTCAGATCCAAGAGTCTTGCACGTGAATTTTGGCTTCCCGCATTTGACAGCAGGTATGATTTATTACAATACGATGGGTTTAGGTATCTGTGTGTGTCTGGCCTCGCCGTTACTGTGAGCAGAACACGCGTGTCGGGACTAAACCAGGATCTAGTGCTCTGGAAACAATCAGTAATGAACCAGACACTGGAAAAACGGCTTTATTTCTGCATCACCAATAACCAGTTAAATAGAGAGAGTCAAAAAGAATGAGGGGGAAAAAAAATACCCAGGGAAGAGACAGAACAGGGAACAGCATCGATAATGAGCTGGATCCCACGTAGCTAACGCCACTGAAAAGCTGAAGTGGGCAGTCAACTCCTTGACCTGTTTTATTTTACTCCAAATACAGCTGTCAAAATGTAATCAAAATGTCAGAATGTATAATCTCTCCCTGCTCCGGACAATTACCAATGTTCTTCAAAGTGCTGATAAGCTCCGCGTCTATCTACAGAGTACTCTCCTCTGAAACCATCAGCACAAGCAGGTAATTAATGTAGCTCAGTTATTCCCCTAATTCTAACAGGAAACCATTATCTGATCGACACAATCACGCCACTGTGCTTCCTCTTTCATACAAAATTCAGCTGCAAGACACTTGGTAGTTTATAGCAAACAATTTCACTAAGTGTTGGCATTACCAGTTTGACAAATGCACCATTGTCCCAGCCCTCCAAAACCCGACCCCGCAGATGGATTTACTGAACGCAAAGCTGCTCCGCTTGCGAACAGGGGCAGAGACCAACCCTTCCCTGCTGCTTCACCACGATTATTAAACCACAGCTCGGAGCGAGAGCAAACAAGCTTCAAAGCAAAGGCTGCCAGACAAGCCCTGCAGGCTGCAACCCTGCTTGGCCAGGGGAGGGTGGTGGCACTGCCTGGCATACGTGACTCGGCGGAGTAAAGGAAGAACCTTTTACGGTCCCTGCTTCACCGCAGCATCTCAGCACCAGGACTGTGAGTCAGCTGTGACATTTTCTTTTTAAACAAATCTAGAGTTCCACCTCTGCTGTCGATACTGCAGGGCCAGCTGTTTAGGTGCAAAGAGGGAAACCAGAACTTTTCTCAGTGTCGTTTGAAAAGTTCACACAAACAAGGCTCATGAGAAGCGCCGGCCCCTGAGCATCCTGTGCTGAGCTTGTAACACTGAAAGGAAACCCCTAAACCATGTTCACAGTGCTTGCTTTTGCTTTTTGGCAAGACTCCTTCTCCACAGAGAGGAAAGAAACTTTATATATAATTTTTTAAGTGGTAAAAGAGCTTCACACAAGAATACAGAACAAACCAAAGACACTAGGAACGCCTCCTATTTCTAGAGTCTGTTTCCTTCCAACAACAAAGTTTGTTGCCTCTCTTAAAGGACAGACTACCTCTTGGTTTTGGTTGGCAGCACCTCTTCAGTGTAAAGCTTATGTTGTCTGTCCGAAGTATTTGTCCTTTCAGGTGATCCATCAGCTCTTTTAAGGATGAGAAAGACTTGTTTGAACCATGTAGGAAGTATCCACCTTTCTTCACCTCAATCTGGAAGTTCTTGTACTGGATTGAGTTATTTATCATCTGCTATTAGGGGGGGAGAGGGGAGAAAAAGAAAGCAAACTATAATCATTAAATGACAGAATGTTCTGAAGCCATAAAAGCTCCCCAAAAGCCTCTGAAATGACATGTAGGACCAGTTAATCACTCAGTCCTAAGCTAGGGTCCTCTAATCAAACTCCAGGGAAGGAGAAAAAGGCCCTAAAATTCCTATAACCTTTGGTCCCAGGAAGGCTCATCGTAACAGAGTGGAAGAAGAGCAACATAACGATGCAGTCGTCTAACAAGTCCAACTCCAGCTTCTGTGTTTTGCAGAGCCTGAGAGTATGCAGAAGCCCTGACTCTTCAGAAAGAATTTCCTCTTCACTTGGTCAAGAACTGCAGAATCTGGATCACGGTTTCAAAATCTCGGCTTAAAAATAGCAAAACTCCCTTTCACAACCCAGATGGTTCAACAAATGAAACAAGATTTCAAGCTGTTGTTCAAACTGTCCAGTTTCATTTAAATGTGCTGAGGAAGATAGGCCTGAACTTTTGTACTCATCTATCTCAAGCCTTTTCAAGTCCTACCCTCTACGCCTGCTTCCTCACCTCTACAGAGCACAGCTTCCCATCACCTCTCCGTCCTCTCTAAGCCTCACAAGCAGGTTGAATGATTTCCAAGACAAAATTGATTTCTTGTTTCAATGCCTCAGCTGCCCTGTCTGTTAGAACAGTGTTATCGTACAGTTTTTTTGCAAAACGTCTACAGAAGATGAACCATCTATCAATGTTTATTATTTCTAAGAGGGTTTTTTCGTCGTTTTGTTGTTTGTTTCAAATGTCCCTTCTTGACCTCAGCATTGATTTTACTAACACTTTTTTCTATGAGAAGCAAAACTATTTATACACCTTCACATTATTATTATTATTCTTATGTGAACACTTCAAGTACCTTCCCAAAACTAGCAAGTCAGCTGCAGACTTCCAAGTGAAGCCAGTAAAACCCAAACTCCTCTGCAGTTGCTGCATCCTTCTTTTCTACTTCTAACTGGTTCTCTCACCTATCCCCACTTCATCAGCTTTTACTTATCACTCATCTTTCATAAAATATGTTCCACCACAGTGTATATGTCGCCTTCTGTGGTGCTCTACAGGTAAAGGCACTATTCCTTGGGCACTATTCTTCTACAGTGAGTCAGAAATATTCATATAATTAAATCCACGTTCAAGAAACAGTAGGTAAGTTGCAGTGACAAATTCTGTACGTCATTCTCGCACCATACGAGCTTAAAAAACAATTTCCATCACGTTCACGCACAGTTTTATTGCTAAGAATGCAAACGTTCTGATGTAATGAATCATATTTGTAGAGATAGCACAGGAGTGCGGGAAAGTGAAGTTAATGAGTACAAGTATCTACCCTCTGCTGCATCAGCTATCAAAGATAAGAGTCTCTGCCCTAAAGAACATAAATAGAACATGGATTACAGGGAGCTGCTAGTCTTTAGCTCATTATCAGATTACTGTGGGGATGCCACACCTGACATACCTCTGAGCCTTCAAAACAAGTCACTGTCATGAGAATGTGGTTAAAGTTCGTGCAGCTCCATCTCAACACATACATTCCTGCTTCGTTCCCTTCCTGCCGCAGTTTGTTGATGGCGTATTCCGTGCTGAAAGAGCCAAGGTACAAATGAGGAAAACCAACAAGTGAGCAGTCCCATCTAAAATCTATTATTTAGTAAATAAACAGGAGAGTAATCCTGGAGTTGGAACAAAAATGAGTAACAGCAACTTAGAAATATTTATATTATTAAACAGGATTTAATTGTGGGCTTTACAGACACATTTAGCTGCAAAAGAGCAAGGGAAGGAAGTTTTATTAAGCTCTTAGGACAATTAATGGGGAAATTCTGCCATCTAACAGCGTGCATGTAAGCTCTCAGTTTTCTATATATTCTGTCTTGAAATATAAAAGGAAAAAAGCTACAAAGGTGGGCAGAAGGGAAAATAATTGTTTTAATTATTTAAAAAAACAAAGGCTTTGTGTCTCCACCCAAGTACTCCCAGTGTAGACAGAGTTCAACTTTAACTAAAACATTCCCATCTGTTCCAACTGACAATGATCTTTAGAGCTATTAGTGAAGTAAGCCTCAAAACACTCCAGTAGTGAGGAAACACTGCTTTTCTAGATGAGTAAGCTGATGTAGAGAGAACCACTGATTTTTTTGTTCCATATAATCATTAGGTTGTTCTACAACCTTTTGTTAACCAACAACCTTCCAACTATCAGGTTCCCTCAATGGATTCAACATGCAGCAATTATTAGAGGACTAACGATTCAAGTGGAAAAACAGAAATCTAACATTTTACTAACCAAATGGGTCCGTGGCATCCATTTTTTATGTTGTGCTCAATCAGTGGGGGAGCCACATCCGTGCAGAGGTAATGGTGGGCATCTGCTGTAAGTCTGAAGTACCCGTCTATCAACGATGCAAACGACAGGGCCTCATCATGTGAGGACAGTTTTAATTCCTAAAACAAAAAGATATTTTAGTCAAGAATTCTTACAGTTCCACTAAAACATTTCAGGAATGTTTTAACAGCCAGCAATTTTTGTATTAAGTGGCTAAAAAACTGTCCAGAAAGCTACGACAGAAAACCATACACATATAGGAAGCCAACACCGACCATCCCCTATCCTCTCCACTCATTACTGGCTAGAAACTTCCATTCTCCAGCCTGACATATTCTGCTCTAATCCTACACAAAATTAAGGCAAACTCTTGTGCCAGCCTTTGTGAAACGCCAAAAATTCAGGACTGGGGCTGTCATGTTGGATTTGAAGCCAAAGGCACTCTGGCAGCTCCTTTCCAAATTCTAGCAGCTGGCAGCCCACAGCAAGAAGAATCGGGTGTCTATAAACTGACTCTCCTCTCCCCCCCTCCCAGGATCTCTCTGCATTTGTCTCCTCTCCCTCTGCCATCCTTGCTGGACTCCTCTTTCTCGACACGGCTTGGAAAACAGCACAGAGGAAAGCCATGGGCTGAGAAGCATATCAGGCACTGCTGGCATGCAGCAACAAATCTAGAAAAATAACTGTGCTCACCAACCTGCTGCTCTTCTAACCAGCATTTTTAGCACCTGTCCAGTGTTGAGGAGAGCATATCCAGCTGTTACTTGAGTCTCATTAGAAAACGTTCCTCAAGGAGGTTGTCACTTGTTGCCCAACAACACCATGTCACTACAGGTTCCCATGGCAGGGAAACCTCTCCAAGGTTTGGTTCTTACCATCCTTTTGTTATCCTGCTTGTTAATGCTAACTGTAGACTCCTTGATGACAATGTGGGTGATTTCAGGAAAATAGGAAAAATTGTTCCACAAGTCTCGAATTTTGTATTTGTCTTCATCCTTTTTGTTTTTGCCGTCAGTCTTTTTCTTCTTCTCTTTCTCTGTCTGTACAGACTGCAAATATATTTTAGATAAAAGCATACCAATAAAAACTAAAACTACATTAAAACAAAAATTCATGCCCAATTAATCCAGCTGTTCTTATTCTCGAACGCTTTTTGCTGCAAAGGAGCGGTTCATTTACATGTCCAGTGTGCCTGTACTGCAAGGACATAGTTCAGGCAAGGACTGTTCATAAGAGTTTTCACGGGGATAAAAGAAACCAGTCGTTAGCTAGGTAACTTCCCTCTCAGTATGCTAGAAACAACCTTCAGTAGCAATACAGGGCTGAAAGGGTTCCACTGAAACGTCTAAATGATGTATCTGAAATACTCTCTCAGAGCTGACAGCAGATGAAATACTGCATACAGGCCACTATGAAGCTGACCATCTTACAGGTCAGAAATTACTGAAAATTAACTATTTATTTTTAAAAAGATAAATGTTGAGGCTGAGCAAGCTTCCTGCTAGTCACAGAAAGGTTTTCACTGAGACAAAAGTCTTTGGTTTAGGCATTGCAATAAATAGAATAATCTATACATCAGCAGAAACAGGAGCCTTACAAGAAACAGACTGCACTTCTTGCAAGCTTCTCTGCTCAAATATCAGTTCTTCCCTTCCCTCCTCCCCATTAATATTATAATTTAAAACAGAAATTCTCCCTCAGAGATATAGTTAGGTTACATCTAAATGGAGTGAAGCACAATACTTTCTATGCTACAGAAGACAGTCATCACCAGGGTTCTCATCACTGTGGGGAGCTGAGGCAAGCAAAAAGAGGTCTATCTGTTCAACGTTATGTGGAGAAAAGCTGTAGAAGATGCCATAACCCTTTCAAGCCTAGAGCATATTTAGTATTTATGTACACAAAGTACAGAAGAGCTTAAGCAAAGTGACTTCAGTTAGCAGCACTGAAACAAGGAACAGCATATAAAGTATCACTGATGTGAGAAAGCTTAGCTTTAATGTCAGTATATTCTAATTTATTCATGAAAAGTCTACGAGCATGAGCAAACACAGCACCTGGGGTGCCATATACAGAAAAAGCATTAACAGACTTCGGTATCAAGAGAGAGCACCAACCACAAGGGTCTCCACAGACATTAATCTTTCAAGATGTGTGTCTGGTCTGGCAGATACAGTCCAGTCTTTTGTTTTCCTGGTGAACAGGTTGCCCACGGGGGTTGTGCACCATCCACCCTTGGAAGTTTTCAAGACCAGAATGGATAAAGCCCTGAACAACCCAGTCTGATCTCCAAGCTAACCCTGACAGAGGGGTTGGACTCCTGAGCTCCCTTCCAACCTGTACAGTCCTCTAATCCCATGAAAGAAGTCCTGTCAGTAAAGAGCTGATCTGCAGCATCCGAAGACCATGACCATTTTTTAACAGTTACTCCCCCAAAAGCAACCCTCCAATGCCCATTTATCAAGGGATACTTACATTTGGCTTGAGCCTCCACTGAATTCCATTGTTTCCTGTTACGATGACTTCATATAGTGGGAGGATCTCATTGTCTCCACAATTAAATCTATTTACTTCATTCTCAGATGAAATCAGCAAAAATGAAGTCTCAAAAATTTCTGCTCCATAATGTTTAGTCAAGGTCTCCATCGTCGATAAGTATTTAACTTTCAGATCACGTGGAGACACGCTACTGTCACAAATGGTTTTGTTGTTAAACTCCTTAAGGAAATGCTTGAAAACATTATTTATCCGAATCCTGGTTAAGAAATTCCTCTGTCTGATAGTCTTGTTCAAAGTTTCAGGAATATAATGTTTATAACTAGAAGGAAAAACAATGCTGTGAGTTAGTACTGCTGTCTCCTCAACTTGTAACTCTCTAAAATGTGTGACTGCCTTGCTTTGAAAGCTGCAGAGAAGAAGATGCAGCAAACCACCATGCAGTTGGTGCTGTAGGAGTGATTTAGAGCACTAAGAGCCAAATTCAAATAACAACCTTATCCAAAAGGTTTTTAGTCAGATGGATACAGCCCGCTCCACTCAATGACACAGATAGATTCTAACAGGTTTTTTCTCATCAGGTTGTCACTTAACAACACTCCTATTTCTGAACCTACCGACCCAGAATCCTGAATTTACAGCAAGTCAACCAGTACCCAGCTCACTGGTATGCTGGATGCACTAGCTGCAGAGATTTCAGATATACTTCAAGTAAGAAAAAAACTGAAGTTTTGTTACACATATCCCTATTGACAAGATTAGGAAGACCCACTTAACAACAATAGCGTTGGAGCTTCTAACTCCTGTACAAACTCTGGAAGGTAAAATGCTGAAAATCTCTTCTGGAAGAGAAGCACAGCAGACCCAAGAGTGACAAAGAAGTTATTCCTACTTACCTGATGTCTTTGGGAAGCTCCGGAAGCTTCACATTTTTCTTGATGGCATAGTGAGAGATCGCAAGGACCGCCATGCCCAGACATTCATTTTCAATTTCATGAACTTCTTGATCGTTTTTAGGATCACGGATTGGTGCCAGGCCTTTCACTAAGTCATACTGACCCTTAACAGGAAGCAAAAAAAAGAAAGCTCTCAGATTTGGTAATTGTCATAGTTTATCTACGAGCAAGAAATACGTCTCCAGATGACAGGCTCTCCTTGAGCAAGGCGAGGCACCCAAAACTGAAAGCCAGGACAAGGAAGGGCAGCAGGGGAAGAAGGGAAGAGCTGTGCAATAGATGCAGTCTTCTCTTCAACCAGTGAAACAGAAACACGGGCAGGCAAGCACTCACCCCACAAACGCTGCCTATGTAAGAAGAATCACCAACATTTATGCCTGACAGAAGTCTTTCGATTTGTGGAACAGGTGGAATGGCCACAGCACATCCACCCCACACGCAGTCCTCAGCGTTGCGGCTTTCACCAAGAACGGGTGTAGAGCCCCAGGGAGAACACCTCCCAAACCCCCATCCCCTTCTTCTATGTATTAGCCCACCAAAACTTCACTTTTTTTGTAATTAACTAAAGAAAGCATATCACCCCTGCCTCCTTCTAGCACAATTTTTTACAAATTTTTTTTTCTGGTACGCAAGAAATATTTTGTGTCTCTGCTTTATCTCTGCCCATCATCACCTGGTGTCTCTATGAACCTCAAGCACGGTCTCTAACCCACATCTCAGACCCAAGACTGCAAACTCTGTGGTAGCCACCTCGCTCTGGGACAGTCTGAAAAACATTTCATTCCCAAAGAGCAAAGACATTTCTGCTGCCTTATACTAGCATTAGGGGTCCTCCTGGCCTTTTTTGAAAGTTTTATTACCCAGAAGTAAAATTCTGCTTAATGCAATAATGTCTGACAATATCCATTAGGGTCCCTACTCATTCTGCCATTTAAAAGGTGTTTTCATTCTTTTTAATAGCACTCAAAAAAGGAAAAAAAAAAAAAAGGACAAAACAAGAGTTTTGCAGCACGTTTTCAGTGATTCTGCAGAGTTGAAGACATGTACACAGAATGTTCATACAAAACAAAACCTAAGTCACTTTCTTAACACAGAAACAAATATTTGCTTCTTTTATTACTTGATAACACAAGTGGTACCATTAAAATGCACACATAGCTGTAACTAACATGGTATTTTCTTTTGTGGTTTCACAACAAAAGAACAAGGGTTCACTGGAGCAGCTTTGTGCTATCTCTTTTTCTGAAGGACAGAACCATATTTCAAAGTCTGAAAATCCTGCAGTAATTATGCTTAGAATTAACTGTAAACATGTGGGGTTTTTTTCCAGCCCATTTAATTTGCTCATTTCACAAGCTTTCATCAACCTCAATCTTCCCATTTCTTTGGTGAAACCAGACAATTCCTGGTTTGCAAAATCATCTGCGTGTATACAAACTTTTTTTGTACAAGAGCACAAGCTTCCGCAATAAGGACCCTTGTGTACTTGCCACGTCCAGCATGCTGCACGTACTGCCAACACGAGGGAGGCACAACAGGACAGAAAAATGGCATGTAAGCAGGCTGCGTGGCTTTATCAGACAATATTTTAACACCACGCAGTAAAAAAGACCCACGGAAAGGACACCATACTGCCAGTTTTAATACCGCCACTGCTCTGCTGTAGGACTACAGATGTTAATGTTATGTGCAAACGTTCCACAACAGAAAAGGTGATAGTATTTAGATCCAAAAATATTTACTATTAAAAGAAAGTATGCTAAAAAAATATAGCCCTTTTTGGACTGTGAGATAGGCAGTTTCTCTACATATGCTGCATATGGGCAGATTGTTCTTCACGTAGCAAATTCCCTTCTCTCCACCATGCAGAAGTATGAAGAAAACACTAATACTAACAGCTATGGTTCTTTAGAAGTTTGAAGATAGGCCTTTAAAGCAGTTTCTACTGGATCAAGTAGTTTTTGAGTGACTACAAGGGCAGAGATACTTGCAAGCAACCTCCTACCTGTGCAAAGATGTATTCCAATGAGTTTGCATCAAGTATAGGGGTTCCTTCTGGTGCCAGCTTCTTCTCATAAGAGTTCTTCGCCTTCCTTGGGGAATGTCTCCACACTGAGGGCTCGTTTTCACTAGTCCCATGCCAGTTTGTAAAGTAGTATCTTGCAAGAAAAGAAGAATAAACTTTTAAAACTTTTGGGGAAGTCCTCCACTTAATTAGATCGATAATTTAAACTTGTAAAAGAAAAACAGTTACAAGTCAGCATCCATCACTCGTCTGCCCTGAGGTTGCAACTTGAAGTGGTCCACTGCTGAAACTGCATGCCTGGCCTGAGGAACTGGGGAAAAATGGTCTATCAGTCAAAGGTCTACAGCGTTTCCACGCAACACTCCCTCACTCTTAACTGCCTGTCACGTCCCTGCACAGTCCACTGAACAAGAAGGCACCACTTTGGTGACAAGCAGGTTTCCATCACCCCGACATCGCGTGAGCAGCGTAGGCGAGCGTAATGCTTCTACTGGGCATTAACCAACGGCTGGTGTTTGCATTCCGAGATCGAACGGCTCATCTAAAGGGTTAACGAGACATCAGACCTCCTCCTCTACAGGCACAGGGAAGAACTTTGCTATGCCTCACTCCCTGGAATTTCTTGCTTCCCTTTGGTTTTGGATGGAGCTAGTGGAAAAGGTACCAATTCAAATCACCCAGTTTTAAGGGGACACAGTCAAACTTCCGTGTGTATTACAGACAAGCTTTTTACTCATACCTGCACACAAAGATATTTAGTTAAAAACCTGCTAAAGGAGTTGGCATCTACTGAAAATTCATCAAATTTTCGAGTTCGACCTCTGTTAGCACCTTCTGAGAAATCTTTGCCTAAATCATTCCAGAAATTTGTTTATCTGCCTTCTAGTAACATTTAAATCAAGCGAAGTTTAGTTAAATCCGGTTTGAATCAATGTGCCTTTTGCAAAGGTTCATGTCTTGCACATGATCATGAACTGCTTACAATTAAATGGTTACAGCAGAGCAGATTTACCCAACTGCTAAATAGGAATGATTCCTGTAAGAGTATGTCAATCTAATTCCAGAGGAGCATTCAGCACTAGCAGGAGCAAACAATGCAGAATTACTGCACTCTGTGTGTGTGTGTGTGTGTGTGTATATATATATATATATATGCATTAATACAGAGGATGGTGTGAAATCAGACATTTCTGATACACAGTGACCACTGTGAGCATCGCATAATTAGTTTCACATTACCGTGATATCTCGACAGCAAAACTTTTAATGTCTACCTAAATATGTGATCAAAACCATAAAGAATGTTTGTGACCAAAATGAGATCAGCTTTACACAGGAAAAAGACAAATGAATGTGAACGTTAACAGACACTGCACATAGAAGAAGTGGTAAAGAAAAAGTGAGGGGAAAAAAACAGGTTTTAGGTAGAAAATATTGAGGCGTGTGATGGGTATTATCTAACTCCTGAATTGGAAATACACTGAAAGAAAAAGCTGAATAGATAAAATACCTTATAATCCATAAACGCATTTTGAGATTACAAATAAGAAATCTGTTGAAATTAAAAAAAAATCTGTTGAAATAAAAAAAATCTGTTGAAATAAATTTAAAAAACCCTGTTGAAATAAAAAAAATCTGTTGAAATAAAAAACCCTGGTGAAATTTAAAAAAATGTGTTGAAATTAAAAAAAAAAATCACTATGTTGCCCAAGCAGTTTCATTTCAAATAAAAAGCAATAAAAAAATTGCAAGAGACGCGTTGCTGAAGACAGGAAGGCAGCAGGAAGGCAGTAAGTCAACTGACAAATGCTTAGGAACATTGTGGTGTAGAACAACCCCCATGCAAAAGTGTTTTAACATATGTGCTGTATCTTCGTGACTTGTTTCTGACCAGAATGGGAGCTTCATGGATTAAACCCCAGTTCTGCAGAGGTTGAGCACAATAAAATCAGTATTTTTAGTTCAGCACCGCGTGTTTGAATCACACGTTATCTGTACAATAACTTGATCATTCAAGTGAAGAATTATGTATCAAATTAGTCTTAAAGAGATGAGACTTTCTGTGCAGCGTTTCTGTTCATCCCTTCTTCTTGAAAAATCTTTTTAAGTCCCCCAAAAGCACACAGCTCTAGCATGAGTAGGAACACCAACACACAACTATGCCCAAACCTCCTGACAAGTACTGTAAGATACTGCAAAACTCTTCTGGACGATGCATAAAAACCCGAGCAAAGCAAATCCTTCTGCCTGCAGGAAATGACTTTGTTTCCGTATGCTCCTTTATAAGATGAGTGATAATTAATAACTCCGATTCTTTTCGTATTTCCTGGAAAGAATTATGGGCAAGGTATTGTGTATTGTTTGTAACAGAGAGGAGAATCTGCTCCTTTCCTTGTTAAACTGCACTGATTAAGACAACACTTATAAGCTACAATAAGAATTAAGAGCTCCATTGTTTGAGGAACCATATAAATAAAGGAGAGTCTCTGCCTTGAAGAGTCTGATGGGCTTGTGGTGAAAGGGAGTCAGATTATTACTATTACACTTTCACAAACGGAGACGGGAGCACAATTTTTCCAATCCAGAAGTCCTGCAGACAGGCTGGAAAGGAGATTGCACGCTCCTGAGTTTCAGGAGCCCGACCTACATCTCCCTTAGAGTGCTCTGGCCCAGGGCCGGCACCTGCGGCACAGGAGAGAGCCAGCAGCAGGGGTGGATGTTGGGAGTCAGCCCGAGAGGGTCACCCTGGGAAACTCCACTTTTTTACTTCACCCATTCAATCTGGCCAAGCAGAAATGCCAGAGGGGGGACCTGCTGTTGTCTTTCACCTGCAGCAGCTCTGATAGTCCTTCTTTCCAGAGTTTCCAGAAACGGATGTTGGGTCCCTTCTCCATGCCGAGAAACGCCGCCGCTACCTCTGGCTTAAACACAGCCCAGCCACGGAAGAGTTAAACTCCTCCTCCATCAGCTGGTGTGCTAATTACTCCAGGATATTACGACATACTGTAGTTTCTTATGTTGTAGACTGGTTGGCTTTTTTTAAACAAGTGAAATAAATATAGAGCTAGTTACAGAGTTTCTAGTCAAAAGCTACTCCTTTTAAAATATTGCCAAGCTGGCACAGATCTGATGGGGAGAGGACGACGGGAAGTCAACACAGGCACAAACCAAACCTAAAGCTTTCAGCAGTGGGAGAAAAACCAAACTTCTAAAAGCATTTGGAACGCCTCAGTCACATACCTTCGATTTTAGATATATAACTTTAATAGGACATGACTAAATTAAACCTATCAATGCAATGGAATTTCAGAAATAAGGTTGTCCGCATAGAAATGATTTAGTCTCTAGATGATATATAGTCCAACACGCTGCACTATTAAATAAGCTCAGACCATTTTCCTTTTTCAAGAGGAATTCTGCCTCTTGCAGAGCACAGAATAAACAATATTCATTTAGAGAACAGTTTCGTAATCCTGCATTGCTCGTAATTTTTCAGTGTTCAGCCCTGCTCTCAGTTCAGATGTCCAAGCCAAGACACACAATAGATTAGAAATGAAAGTAAAATACCACTTCACCAATACACAACAGCATTTCCAGGGAGACAGGAGTCTTTAGATTAGCACCTAAATGCATATAAACTCTTCTTAAATGCATACGAAATTATTCTAAATATGTCCTATTGGCCCACAGTTTGCTCATTTTCACGCACGAAGTACATCTGACAAAAGAGATGTCCCTGCCAAACTTCAAATCCCAATTCCAATGCTTAAAAAAATAAACCACCAGAACTTTTCAATGCAGAAAGCAGGGCATTTTCCATAGCTTCATTCTATAAAATGGTAGAACGGGAAAATTCCCAGAAAATAAAGTTTGGCATAGAGTAATTCTGCCCATATACCTAAAATCTGATCGAGATGTCAACAGGAATGGAAGAGTACCTGGAGAGAGTTCTCACCATTCACTCAAAGCAGAAACATGTAAACACCAGAGTGAACACTATTTTTAAAAAATTGAGTTAACAACAGTATCGTATTTCTAATCAGAGGATTAAATTCCCACAGCTACAGTTTTAAAATACTACCTTCTTTTCCTGAGTAAAGCACACCACATCAGAGAATTTCAGTATCAGGGGAAAACTCCCCCGATTCACATTACACCAAGAAATTTTATTATCCAGTATATGGTTAATCTGAGTGATCTCTTAAAGCAAGAAGGGGCACTTAATGCTCTGTAAGAGGCCATTAGAGTCTCAGAGCTTCTTTTAGAGTCACTCAATTCCATTACTGTATGGCGTTTATCTGCCAAACTTAATCACAGCTGTTTAAGGCTGAGATTAGCCAAGGTTAAGTCATTAATAGCACTAATAGACTGTGTTACAGAAAACCAAAAAGACTAGAGCATCCTCTTTCTCTTCTAAAAATAAGTATCAGTATTATAATTATTTGAAAAGCCTTTTTGTTGACTGTCAGTATTTTTTTTTTCTCCTAACAGTTTACCCCACAACAACTCCAGTCTGGCACAACTGTAATCAGAACTGAAACACACAAATTCAAAAAACACGTTTTCAAAGCTCTCTCTTTGTATCCCCATAAGCAAAGTGGTGGATATTCTCCAACAAGCCTAAAAAACTGGATGCACAACCTGGGGCTTACACATGCCAGTCCTCTCACTGGCATGTACAAGTGTTAGTCATGTTGTCTAACTACAGATGATCAGGAAAAAGATGTTAAAATCCATACAGCTTCAAGTTTTCTTCTCTACAGCCCAAACTGACCGTGTACGTATTACATTTCAAGGCAAAGAGGGAATATTATGTAGCTTTTTTCCTTACAGTTGTACCTTGAAGAATCTACAAAAACAATCTGTGGACTGGGTGAAGTTTCTAGACTAATTATACCTGGAAGCAAAGCTTATTCCATATATTTATCTCCTATATTATACACTTAAAGCTCATACTGATGCAAGTCAGAATAAAAATCAAATAAATAAAGCAGGATAATGTCCAGAATTAGATTTCTATCAAGTCCTAAAAGGAGGACATCCTTCCTTTAGCTAGAGTATGTGAGAGTGCTCGACAGCTGTCAGTATTACTGCTTTCACCTTCCAGGGGATGAGGGCTGGTGTAGCCATTCAGCCCCACAAATCTCAACAGGTTACGTGCTGTATTTGAAGAACATCACCTGAAGTATAACCTGATGGTACAGGATGGACACTGGGGAAAAACGCTTTCTATTTTCTGATGCTTTCTCCAGTCTAGTGCATGCCACCCACAGCATGGTCACACAGATTCCCCTGCAGACCTAGAGGAGAATTTCAAAAGCAATAGCATGTTGCTTTTTCCTTTCAAGATAATAGTAAAACTCCCATTGACTTCAGCAGGAGTACAGTTCACTGAACACTTCAAACAGAGATGGAAACATGCAAAATACTGACATAATAAAACATTTTTGAACCACTTTTTTCAATTGAGCTTTTAGCTCGTTCAGTCACCTACAGCTCTGTGGATAGAGGTTCTTGTGTTTTTTCAACTTCTGGGGCTTTTGTCAAGGTTATATAGCAAAGGCAAAAAAATCAGGAGACATTTTAAGCTTTTTACTGTTAATCTCTTATCTCTGCTTTGAAAAGCAAGATGCTTATTTTGGTTTTGCTTTCCTGCTTCTTCAGTGAGTTCAGCAGTACGAGTCAGAGCATCTACATAAGGTTAAAGAACCATTTTTGAGATTTTGCACTTACCTCATTCGGTAATGGAGCCGGTGTGATGTTTTTTCATCTATCTTAAAGACCTGGTTTGGTGCATACCAGAGCTTTTTGTTTTCATCATACAGAGCAAAGAGGTTATGGCACAGAGGAGATATAGCTGTCAGAGGAAAGCAAACAAACATGTGAAACACAAGGCTCCAATACATACGCACGCCCCAAAAATATAAATACAAAAAGCAAATACCTGACCTTGCAAAATAGACCGTAAAAAGAGACTGAAATTTAAAGCAAAGATTAGGAAGTTATGGTTAACGTGGAACTGCAATGGCACATTGGTTCACTCCGTTGTTTTATCATGTGTGAAAGAGTGTATCATTTCAGCTATTTCTAACATTATTTTGATTTCGAGAAAGATCTAACTTAAGAGGAAATTACTTTAAAATCTTCACTTTTTCTAGATCACAGAAAATGGGTGTTTTAACAAAACCACTCAGCAATACCACAACGTGGCTGTCAGTTTTATTTTGTTAATAAATGTAACTCCCATAGTTGAAAGAGAAGGTTTTAGTGAAACAATGAAAATCCCCTTCTCATTAGCAAACAAGCAGAAAGCATAATGTGTCGTTTTTCCATTCTTTGCTAATTCAACAGAGGGTTTGCCAACAAAGAACAGACTTTGACCTGTATGTCTAGGCTGACCTGCTTTAACCTTTGCTTTTGCATCATCCCAGAGCAAAACAGGCTACGATGTATTTACAGGCCTACTGTTGTTTGAATTCCTTGCTTCAGCCTCCTGCTCAATAGGAGGCAGTACCTTTTTGCAAAAGCCCTGGTCAGGCCAGCAGTGAGCACTGTAGCATGAGCTTAAGTGTCTTTCTGAAATGGGGCCAACTGCAGAGCACTTTGTTGGGGTCCTGCAGAATTCAGTGAAACCATTTCTATGGTAAACTGGGGAGAGAGAGCAGAAAGGAAGAAGAGAAGCCTAGGAAATAAAATCTGATCGCAAAGTTCACAGAAGGTGGGGCTGGGCAGTCAGTGCCTGCTGCAGGTCAATGAGCAAGGCACAGATGACACCACTGGTTTAACATCCAAGCTGTGATTTACAGCCGAGACCAGCATCATGTGTCTGCTGAAATGGGTGAGACTTTGCCATGTGCTGTGAAGTTTGTGGAAAGTGAGAGAAGGCAGAAAGAAGTTCCCTTAAGCAAAGCTCACTTTAAGTCATTTCTTCAAAGATTTTAAACTTCCACCAGAAATTACAGCGAGCAGTCACGCAGTACGTGTGTTCACACCCATACGAACAGCAGCAGTTCAAGCTCTTACAGGCTGACATGAATAGGTGGGGTTTATGTACTCCTCATTTTCATTAAAACTATTCAAACATAACACATGCACTTATTTGACATGTCCTTCGGATTCCCATCATTCCTGCCTTTCCAATGGAAGAGAAGCAATTAGACAAAGGAAGTGAAGGGTACTCAATGTTGCAAGAATCAAGATGACATGGGAAAAGAAAACGTTTTAAAGCTGCAGGAAATCTTATGCCCAGTTTGCCTGTTTATACAGCCAGATTCACCACTCCTGTATCCGCTGAATAATATTTAGCGTCCCATGAAGCCTGGGGAACACAAAGTAGGGATCAGGGCAGGAAGAATTTTAGCATTGTAAATATATAAGTACGCTGGGTCATGAGGCTCAGACATAGATTAAATCCACTCATTCCGGTAGCATTACATATACGTTCAAATATTGTGATGAGTCAAGGACCACAGTGACAAAGCAAGAAATCTTCATTATACATTTATGCATTACCACAATTGTGCACAGTTCAGGTAATCTGAACTGGTGAATCACCCTCTGCAAGGAAGTGTCAGGTAACAGAAAACTAAACAGAAAAGTAGCAGATAAGTTTTGGGTTTTGGTTGTTGTTTTTTTTTTTTTCATTAGCCCTCTGCAAAATGTTTTACAACACGGGACAGATTCTGAGAGGCTTAGCAACTAGTATACAAGGTAAAACCAGCTTTGTGTTAACTTATTTGTATATGGTGTCTCCTCTTAAAAAAAACCCTAATCATCCCACTCAAATTAAAAAAAAACAGTATCTGTCAGAAACGAGGATGGGAGACCATCACTTCATACAAATCTGAAGACAGTCTCTCCCACCATTTCCTCCACCCCAGGCAGTTTAAGAACTGCCCAGACAGACCCTTGGCAAAAGCTTCCACCCTAGACTACGTAATGTGTATTTCTTCTACAAACACTGACTCACTCGCAAGGAAGGACGCATCACTTTCAATACTGTCAGGCCTTGCCACTGAAAACTTAACTAAAATCCATATACTCACAACATCTCTGGGCAGCTTCAATGCACAGGTCCTCTGAGGTAAACTCGCCACTCGTGTAACAAATGGGATTTTTATCTTGCAGGTAGAAAAGTATTTCTAAACCCTGATGTTGAGCTTCCAGGTTCACTTCGCTCTTCTTTGTGCTCCTCATTTTTGCACAGAAAGCCATGGCTTTGCAATCTTCTTTTACGTTTAGATACTGAAAGCGGAGAAAAAAACAGTTAAAGAAACTGTGAAGTAGAGTTTGAATATTTGTCAGAACACAAATCCATTGCTTAATCAGCCTACTGCATACTATGATGGGCTAGGCACAGCGTTTCTCCAAGCCTTCACATGGGGAATCTCATTATTCAAAATCAGTACTTTTCATAAATGAAGGGAAAAGCGATAAAAGAAATGTCAGTCATTATTCTGTTTCTGGTAACTGTTCCAAATAATTCCCTTCTGTTCTGGTGGTTCCCCAGCTACTCTAGAAGGTTTCTCTTCTTACTTTAAAGCAGGAATAACTTTCACATCCTTAGGTACCTAACTGGCTGAAAAATAATACTTGAAGCTGGGTAATATAAACAGTACAATTTCCTTTTTTTTTTTTTAGAAAAAAAAAGAGCTTTTTTTTTATAATCTCCTTAATAGCTAAATATTTCTGATCGTTTTCCCTGCTCTCACCCTTTGTTTTTTAAACTCCTGATACTTAATGCGTCATGGTAAAATGAGCTTTATTGGAGAGTTATTTTTTTTATTGTTACTTCTCTCTCTCTCTCCAGAAGGAAAGGGTAGCACTAAGTAGGTTTAATGCAATAGCTTTTAGACTGCCAAGAATGCATACGAGACAGCTCCGACTCAAACAAAAATGCCATGTTGCATTTTTACCCAGTGTTTAAATAGAAAGAGCAGAAAGGAAATAGATGAACACACACTCTGGCTATTATGGGGCTTGTGTTCTGTGTTTTACTAAGCTTTAGCTCAATTAATAACAGCCCAAACCACCAATTCTGTAGTTTATGAAATTAATCCTCACACCGAAAAACAAACAAAACCAAACCTCAAATGCCAACACACCTGCATTTATGTGACTGACTGATCCTCTATGCAACTGAAACGGATTATCTTGATGCTTTCCAAGAGCAACTTGACTCTGGCTGAAAAAAAAAAAAATAAATTAAAATTGTCAGGAATGTCTTTGTACAGTTTGAGCACAAAATATATAGTCAGACTGATAAAATGCCACTTGCAATCCAAGGGAAATGTTCCATTAATATAACTGAGATCTAGATCTAGCCTCAAAGCGTGCATTCAGCAGTCTCTGTAAGTCTACCTATTTCTTTTGGGTGCACCAACTGAGATGAAGAGGGGAAAAGCCTTGGTTATTCCTTGAGGTTTTTTTTTTCATATTTTCAGAACATCAATCATCTTTTTGGTGTCATACTCATTGTCAAGCTGTGACACCTATGGAGTGTTCTTTATCTCCTTCATGGCTTTTGAAGTCACTTCATTCATTCTTTAGATTTTTAACTACATATTGCTAATGCCAATTCTTCCCTAGTCTCTGTTGCTTCCTCTGCTTCCAGATTACCAGGGTGTTTTTTTTACTTTGTTTTATTCTCCTTTGCTTTATGAAAAGTACAGAGCCTTGCATAGGCAGCAGAGAATAAGGAAACTACCCAAGGGAGTATATCACTCAAGGGCTGTTATTTCTCTCAGCAGAAGCTTGTTCACAAAGAGCACAGCCCATGACTTCAGTGCCTTCAAGCAGCAGGAGCACCTTCCAAGAGCCTACTACTTTTTTATTTTTAAGTCTTACCTAACACCACAAACCACCTCAGCATTCTGGGGCTGGTTTGCAAAACTACTCCCACCCACAGTTAGAAGTTATCCCTTATCACCTGAAGCATTCCTGGCAGGTATCAATACCATCCTTTTTTAATGGTAGGTGTGACAGTGCCTCTATTTAAAGTATTGTCTGATGCCAGGGCTGTAAAATCAACAAGACGCAACAGGAATATTTAAGAAGTAGAGAGGGGAAGAATGGGTGTTGACAAGAAGTCTTGGCATCTAACTTGGCAAGCTAGTCCAGCCCTGATGGTAGAGCACAGAGCATCAGCCAAAGAGCTGGCGTGCTTGGAAGCCATGCCTGCATGTTCCTTTCCAAGGGTGGACAGGCTGCTCCTCTCCCGTCAGCATGGGAATAAGTAGATGGAGAAGGAGTCTGGACTTCTTGAAGAAAAGAAAGATGTAGGGCTCTGTTCTGCATCTCCAGAGGGACTCCCGTGCTCTGGCAGTGGTCCCACACCACTGCCTGCCAGCCACAGCTCCACGATCTCAAGGGGAAACCATCCCACTGGAGTCTCCTGGGGTAGTCACTAAGGGCAAGAGTAAACTAAATGTGACAAAATATTTCTAAACTAAATGGTAAACATCACCTATCTGAGGCTGAAAGATTCCTCCATTTGTATTCTCCATCCCTCCCTTTTTCTCTTCTCCCCTGTCTCTGCCAAATTACACTTGAACTAAGCATGTATTGTTTTTGCTGCAGCAGCATCGGGCCTTAATCTGATGCAGCAGACCAACGAATATTGTTTTATAAGCCTTAGGTTTAGTCTGGAGAAAGTCTGACACTGCTGCACAAGCTTCCCTGGCACTTGGAAAGCACCCAGCGAACGTGATACTATCATAGACAGAATAACATTTAACAGCACCGCATGCATTTACAATGAAATGGCATGTTCCTTCCATCCGTGCCACTTTAATACGAATTTTCAGTTTCCAGACACATTCCCTCAGCAATAATATGGGGAAGAAATAATTGAGAGCATGAATTACCGGAACACGCAGACAAGCCAGTAATTATTTCTGCACAGCACCAGAAAATTTAAATGCAAAATGTTAAAGATATTAGCTTTAATCTAATTGAAAACACTCCCTTTTAAATGACACATCTTATAACTGAACCTCAATATATTTTAATGTCTGTGTGGGCATAATATTAAAAAGATTGTCCAGACGTTTTAAAATGTGAAGGGAAATATAAAACCATTGCCTCCTTGCAGATTCATAAATCAAAATTGTTGCTTTTCAGCACAGCATTCTTTGGTTTTGCTTAATAGCTCGTACTGTTGTTTCTAATCGTGGCAGCAATTCTGAATAGGGAAGAAATTCCCTGAAAACAGAATAGGGAAGAACCTTAAGTGCTGCTTCATTTACAATGTGCTTCTGGGGATGAACCAAACAAACCAACATCCAATCTCTAACTTACTATATACTAATGAGTTTCACAGATAATTCCCATACTCAGTGTCAGGAATTCACCTTTTTATAAATATATCTTAATCTCCCACAAAGTCTCCTCTGAACAAGACCAATTCCTGCTCTGTCCCAGCAGCGGCACCTCTCACCAGGCCTGACAGTGACACCACTGCACACACAGGTCAGGGCAGCCTGTTGCTCCTCCAGACCCGCGACTGTGCCCCGTGCCAGGCTCACCCCGGTCCCGTGTGCATGACCCCGAGCTCCCCACGCCCGTTACGCTCCGTCTCTGGCAATCTCAGGCATCACATCACACACCCCTCATGCTTCAGCTCAGAAACCTGATGGGGATTTTTCACCTTCCCCACTTAAAAGGTTTCAGAGCCTCAGCGGACCACCGTGTTTCGTGTATCGTCTGCAGATTATCTCCCTCCCTCGTGAAGGTTTCCCTGATCAACTTACAGATACCGGCTGTATCCTTTCTCAGACTGCATTTTGCTTGGCTTGCACCACGCTCCACCGGTCCCTTCCTGCACGAGAAGCTCCACTTTCCCCTGCTCATTCTCACAGCACTTCTCAGCACTTAACCCGTCCTCTCCGAGCAGCACTACTCCGGGCACACGAGGGAGCACGACGGGGATGCGCTCAGGCTCTGCTGGGAGTCTGACTGACAGGACAGCATTTGTTTTTTTCAAAGCACATATTCTCTTCACCTGATTTCTGTTTCTCATGGTGAAAGAGCCTTTTGTGTTGCATGCTGCAAAACAGATAGGGAAAGGTAGGACAGCTCTTCTCGAGATACTCCTTGTTAACTCCACCTGCACTACAGGCCTTTTGTACGCTCCCCAGAGCAAAGGGCTTTTCTGGTCATTTAAAATCCTGACTAGTGTATACACACATACCTGCCACCTTCTTACAAGTCTATATTTCAGCCGCAGAGTAACTCAGCTAGTTGGCAGGGTGAGCAAATCCCCAGCCCGGTGCACCACCAGCAGAGGGGGACAACGATTCATCCTTTGTGCTCCCGTTACAGTCACGAAATTAGGGATTTTGGGTGCACAAAATCAAAACCAGGCACCCACAGTTGCCAAAACTCACACCGAATTTCTTTAGACGAGGGTCAACAAACAGATCTGGGCCCAGAGAAAGTATTTTTTTCTCATGCACAGATGAAGCCCTCACAAAATTCTGGTATCAGAAAGCTGAAAAGTTCAAAAATAGGGAGAGAGAATTCTAAAGGTGGGTTGTTCAAAATCAGTTTGGTTTTGGTGTGGCTACTAAACTATTAAGACTTAATGAAATATCTGGAAAAGAATAATATTTGGTAAAAACTCAAGTTCCTGTCTATGACTTGACACAGCCAAGATCTCTTCAGTAAAAAAAGAATTTTCAAGCCCAATTGTCACCGCATTTCTACGGAAAAAACTCACATGTACAACACGGTTAAATAACCCCTTTAAACTTTTGTATGACTCAAAAATCAAGGACAGAAAAGGTGGAGGCATAAATTAAATACTTCAAAAATTATTTGCAAACCTTCCTTGAACCAGAAAGAAGAAGTTAATCCACAGTTGTGGAAGGAGAAGCCCAGGAAAGCCAGCCTGGCTCCGAAGCCTCCTGTGAAGCTGGGACGTCTGCACCTGGCCCTGCCAAGAGTCCCCCCACCCACATCAACAAAAATACCCCCAAAACACAAAAAGAGCTTCCCTTGAGTAAGGAAAGAGAGGATAAAGCTGTCAGCTGGGAGATACTCCAAGATGTCAGACACCAACAGATGCTGTCTCCAAACTCCACTGGGCATTTTTAAGAAAACATCTCGCCTGAGCTCAAACAAGGCTGCAGATGCCACACAGCTTAGGCTCCTCATGGAGACAAGGGGGTTTGTGGTTTTTTTTACCCTGACTCAGTTTTCTCGCTCCCAGTGGGCCACACTTAAATTTCTCCCGGCAGAGCTGCCACAATCCCCCGCGACACAGAGGAGATCCAAGCAGAGCAGCCGTGCTGCCAGAAGAAACGCCCTCCGCTGCCAGAACGCTGCTGCCTGTCCCGGCTGGACCCAGCACCCTTTGGTTTCCATTCACAACACATTTTAATGGGCAAAAGGAAGACATGAAACCCTCACAGGCTTTAAGAAACTCCCCAAGTCCACATCGACGCTTCACCTGAGGCAAACCTGTGCACCGAGACCTGCTCTCAGATTTAAAATGCAAGTTTTGCTTGCTGCTTGCTTTGGAGGGTTCTGACATGAAAACAAGACGCCGGCCGGCACTGCTGACCCCCCCACACCAGCCCTGCTGCACCACCATCCCCGTGCTATCCACATTTCCACCACAGACAAAGATCATGGAAGCAAAATGCAAAGATGGAAAGCTTGTTTTGGGGGCAAAAGTCCCTAAAATGTGAGGAGAGGAAAATCCCAGAGCAAATCTGACCAAACCAGAACTTGGTTTGAAGCACCATTTGCAAGCTCTTCCTCTTTTTTTCCCCCCTCTCAGACAATTTAGTTTCTGGTTTCATGACAGGGGCAGAGCCAGGGGATGTTTGTGATTGCTTATGCTAAAAAAGTATTAGACAGGCTTTCCTTACGCATGTGGAGCAGGACATTTTTGTCATATTCATAGTTTATGTCAGCCCAAAAGTTCTCTATTATTATTATTTTTTCAACACGCTAGTAAAGAAACTTGTCACAGCCCGTACAGCACAGGCCATGCATCTAATCCAGCATAACCTATTAGAGACTCATGTAAAATAAAACCAGGCACTCAACTTCATCGATTTTAACAAGAGAAAATGACAGCAATGATACGATAGCAGACAGTGATGAAGCAGCACATTAAAAGCCTACATCTCTGGAGGGGCCATCGCATCGCTGACCTCCTACAGCAGCCCTGGGAAG